ATTTCACAAGTTATTTTCTATTTATTAGAATCTGAGGCGTTGGGAACATTTTTCAAATGGGAGGGGTGGGGGTTTTTGGTTGTGTCAAATTTGAATTTAAGGGCATACTGGCCAGAATGTTTTACTATCGTGAATTGTGGGATAGGGGGCAAAATCTCCCGATGAACCCCTTGCATGCCCCCTCTAAGTATCAAGAGGGTCGTAAAAGAGTGTTGGCATGGCTTTTACGGCTAACGGTTAATATCTTTCCATTGTTGCCACTAGAAATGTTTTTTACCGTTAACTCTTTTACGAGCTAAGGTTAAAATTTGTCAAGTTTTACGCCTAACGGCTCACAAAAATCTTATTAAGACCCTCTATCAAACACTGTTGCTGCCAATTTGTGATTAGGAAAAATGAAAACTGTGATCAAAAGTATTTAACAAAGTCACTGAGAATAGGAACTGATCAATTATCAAATACGATCAAGTAAAGGATCAAAATGGTATGTTTTTTTCCCTAAAGCGATTAACTATGTACGAGACGTGAACTAATGATTCTCATTTCACAAAATGTTAATACCAATAAGAAATATATCTCCAATATTGCAGAAGATCATGTAGTGAGAGTTAAACTGCCCAGTTTTCATGCGACTTTCGAAAATTCAAAACGGAAATCGAATACTAAGGGAGAATTAATGAGAGGGAGATATGGAGAGCGAGTTAGCATTTGCTCAGAGGATTTGAGCGTTCCAACTCAAGTGAATGAATTTCGGTTTTGTACGTCACAATTTAATGACCAATGATGGAATTGAACATGTAAAAATAACATATTTCATTCCTTTTTTAACAGGAAACGTCAAGCTTCTGTGTCCATCCGTTTCGAAAATTAGAATTTCATTACAAGATCCCTACCAGTAAAACTAAAGCCTCTTTCTTTAAACGGTAAGCTATCTGTGCGCGATAATCAACTTTTCATGAACTGATTTGGAAAACCGATCAGCAGTTTACTCCGCAGTGAATCTAATTCGGTTTTGCACGTCACACTTTTATAGCTTCGAATCGACCATATGTGGTTCACCACACCACACCTTTTAACGTGTACAACTCTCGTAACTTAACACCGAGTCACACAACGCGTGACGCTTTCATGAACTACTTTCGTTTGCCTAATCTCGAGATGTGAGCTTGGGCCGCCTCTGCTGACATCAGTAAAGGACATTCTGCATGATAAATATGTCTTAATATAGAATTGATTTTAGTTTTTGACGCGTGATTGTGGAAACCATCAGTTTCTCAAATTAAACAATGCTGAACAATCTAAGTTAATGAGGTTGAAATATATTGTATGAAACCATAAAGGTTTGAAGAAAGCCATATAACGGTGGAGATATGAAGCATCCGATCAACAGAAAAGTACAATTATACTATGTATGCAATAACATTGAATTTAAGAGAGTTTTAGTTCCTCTGAGAAAACTAAAACATCTCTCTTCGTGGGCGCGCAGCGTCATGAATCTTCTTATGCGATACTCTGGCGCTTAAACAGACAAAAAAAAGATTTGTGCTTGTATGCCCGTCTATCGCGTCCTACTTGGGTCGAAATTTTTAAGAGTTAGTATTCATATGATAAACTGCTTATTAACTGAGTTTGGTTGGGTCGGATGGGAAAATATTTGGCACTCTTTTATCACTCATGATGTAATTGAACATGAAAAATGAAAAGTGTTATTCTATTTTTAATGGAGAACGTCAAGCTTATAAGTGTTGACTCTTTGAAAAGTTTGATTTACATAACAAGATTGATCACAGTAAAACCTTGGTTTCTTTCTTTAAACGGTAACTTATCTTTGCGTGACAATCGACTCATTGTCGTCGTGAACAATTCATTTTCTAGCGGGTGTGATTTGTATTGACTGTATTTCGATTTAGCACGTCACTCTTTTCTGACTAGTGATGGATTTTAGCGTCCAAAAATGATACATCTTACTCTGTTTAACCGGAAAGTCAGGCCTCAGTGTTCATCCATTTTGGAAAGATTGGATTTCCTTGACGAGATCGATGAGATCGAGAGTACAACTAAAGCTTCTGTCTTTAAACAGTAAGCTATCTGTGCGTGAAAATTGACTCATTGTACTCGTGAACTTTTCATTTTCTTGCGGGTGCGATTCATGAATTAATCGTTTCTATTTCTTGAGATGTGAGCTCGGGCCACCTCTGTTGACATCAGTAAAGGACATTCTGCATTATGAATATGTCTTAATATAGGATTGATTTTAGTTTTTGAGCACATGATTGTGGACACCATAAGTTTCTCAAATTAAACAATCTTGCTAATGATGTTGAAATATATTGTAGGAAACCATTACGGTTTGAAGAAAGCAATTTTACGGTGAAGATATGAAGCATTCGTTCAACGCAAAAGTAGGCTCATACTATGTATGCAATAACAGTGAATTTAAGAACGTTTCAGTTTCTCTAAGAAAATCAAAACATCTCTCTTCGTGGGTGCGCAGCGTCATAACTTATCTTCTTATGGGAGACCTTAGCGCTTAAACAGACAAAAAAAACGGATTACGGCGTTTAGAACTGAAATATGTACCGTAGAACCCACCGTTAGTATCTAAAAATTTAAGTGAATGGTGTCTCGACCATGAAACGCTTGTGTACGGGTAGAAAACGGAAATTCAAGTCGAATCTACCGTGATCTCTTAATCGATCGTTACTGACCCTCCTAAAAACAAAGTCAAGTTAATTGCTAGTGCAGATCATAGCTAATGGAAAACCACGTAATGGAGCACTACGGAATTCCTATGATATCTGTTCAAGCATTTTCCATGGTATGATGCTTCCATTTCATACATACTAAGTTTTTTTCTAACTGTCCAACAAAGATTGGAAGCTAACAACTGTGAAAATACTTTGTTTGTTTCATTAGAGCCACAAATGATACTACTAAACAGTGTAAATCCTTATTTGTATTAAAATAAATTCCATTTCTTAACAATTCTCAAATAGAAGATTAAATAATTTTTCAAAGATTTAAAGGTGAGAAGGAAAAAAAAGGTGACACTGTATGATTATTTTTGACTGTTGACAAAGAAATTAAAATTTAATATAGATCAAATAAAAAACCCTTTGAAGGTCCATTGCAACAGTTTCCAGTTCATACACATATACAAAGACTGTTTTATTTCCAATCCAACAAAAGCTGCCATAAGCAGGCATTGAAAGATAAAAATCTATGATAATACAAATAGGGATTTTAGGGCAAAAGGGTAATTTATTTAGATCTTGTGAGTATAGTTGTCAGTTGGGTAACATCTCCTTGCAAGTGCATTGCCTTACCTCAACTTTTAATTTCTTTTTTTTCTTTTCTATCAAAGAAATAAAAAATGTCTCAACATAGGAGGGAGAGGCCACTACACATGAAAGTTCACACGGCAACCAGGTGGACAATCAGACATAGTTTGATGCTACTCTGGTTTGTAGATTTAATGTATGTACCCGAAGAACAGACCCAACGTTTCGACACTCTCGTCTAGTGCCTTCATCAGGGGTGATCTAGACGCTGTAACTAGAGGTGCTTTTCAATATGATCACTAATTAGCGGCCTTTTTTTTCTGACGAGGTGTAACTAGGCGTCAGGAAGCAAAGCGCCATCGTCACGATCTAAACCTCCTCCCAAAAACATTCAAAAGGATGTTTTCAATGCGCTTATAGCTCTCAAAAAGGATCCGGACAGGCTCGTATTATCTGCTGACAAGGGTAATTGTGTTGTGGTTATGGACAAACAGCAATATCACGACAAAGCTTTGTCTCTGCTTAATGACAAGAGTACGTATGCTGTCTTAAACTCTGATCCTAGCAGAAAAACTCAAACACTCCCGCCATCCGCAAGCGATTTTAAATTTCTGTCTCCAAAGATCAGTTCTGGCCACTTTAATGTTTTACTTTAATGTTTTATGGCCATGTGATTTTGAATGTGACATTTCCACATCAGCGTGTTCTTGAGCTTTAGTAAAGCCGGAAGTGATCCTTCTCTACTAGAGCAGATAACTTCAGACACGTATTTCTCCAGAGCTTCGTCAGGTATCCTCTTTCCCCTCTTTTAGTCGTATTTTTAAGCTCTGTACGATTTTTTTTTAATGTGAAGTGCTTCGGATTTATTTTTAGGAAACGCAACGCTTCCCCTTTTGCGAATCCTATCTTAACGCCACTTAAAAAGTGTTTACGGGCCGGCACGACTCCTTACAAAAGGCTTGAAAATACAAAAATTAAACCCGATTTTAGTGGTTTGTTTAATTTTTAAACTGTACTACTACTGTCTTAACTTTACTGAATTCGTTTTACTCAAAAGCTTTACGTAGGTCAACATTGTTTCGTGCTTATTATATCAGAATATAATTTTTGCGTGAAAAACAAAAAAATTGTTGAGTACATAACCATTACCTCCTCCTGAGAATATTAGTAAAGAAAGCACCAAAAATTGGAATAACTCTCCCCTAACCTGGGATAGCTCTTTTTTTTTAATGTCGATGAAATACCGGATAGAGTATTTTCTCTACTTATTTCTATTTTATTTATCCATCTAAAAGTCTTTTAACCTTGTTCCCTTCGAGTACTTGTCATTATTTACTCTATCGGGGTCTTTTTTCCTGCAAGAAAAAAATTGAAATAACCCAATTTATTATTACCTAAATTAACATTTTGGATATAAAGCAAATACAATTACACCGAGCACAACATATATAAATAATTGGCTATTACTTGTATCTCATTGGTAGAGAGGCATCTGTGAGATTCTATATTTTACACCAGAGAGCGGAGATAGTAACTCTTCAAAAAGGAAAACAAGTGTGTGTAGATATATATATATATATATATATATATATATATATATATATATATATATATATATATATATATATATATATATATATATATATATAGATATTAAACTAGCCTTGATGTTCAAGGTAACAATTTCACGTCCAAATCTAACTTTATTTTATGAAATACCTGTTCTCACTGAATCTTGGCGCTGCTTGTCAAACTCGAGTCTCACATCATCTCCAATCAGCGTAAACGAAGCCCACTCAGACATTGTGTTCAAGCCGTTTTTTCTCATCCACTTCATGGCATGATGAAGGGACTCACTGGCACTTCCACCTTCAATGAGGTGTTCGTAGAACCGACTCATCAGCTGCTCTGTTGCTGAGTCTGGAATGGCCCACAGCGCAACCAACACCGAGCGAGCACCGGATCCTAAGAACGCACGGGCAATTCCTATAACTCCCTCGGCTCTTATCTCTCCACTTCCACTGTGACAGCAGCTAAGTACCACCAGTTTAGCTCTGACTTTCACTCGTGAGACATCAGCCATCGTCAACATGTAAGCTTCCTTCGGTGGGATAGCGGTGGGAGTAGGAATGGGGGAGAGTGCAATTTCCCCTCTTTCCGCGTTACCATGGGCAGCAAAATGTATCAAGCTCACTGAACTTATCCGCTCAAGTACCGCCTGCTTCGTTGCTTTCTCTTCAACTAGAGGCGGAACACCCACCAGTCGTCCGACCATCTCCGCTTCCTTTCTTGCACCTGGCAATGGTTGCAGCCAATTAACCTTGGGATTGCCTATTACCAAGGCACCAGTGTTGCTGTGATAGTCCTCTGGACTATCTTGAATGTTCTTGAGTGTTGTCAACGAAGGAATGATACGGATCTTATGAGTCTCTGACAAGTATTCGGCTCCTTCCTTTTCACTCAGGGCAGCAAAGGGAACTTTGTACAACCTGCGGTCAGGAACAATAATGACTTCAGGCTCATCAAGCAAATCATAAACGGGAGCAATGAACATTTTGTAACACAAATATAGACTTGAAATCACTTTCTCGTCCTCGTCCTCGTCCTCGTCCTCCTCCACGAGTCGCAATCTTGCTGAGCTCTTTTGCGCGGGGGAGAGAGGTTGCAATTTAATCGTATTTAAAGACCGATCTTCACAATCTTTAGTGGGCAAAATACCAAGACTCCGGAAATTATCATCCAAAAATTGACTCAAAGACAAATCTTTGGGTAACCCAGCCTGAACTAGATTCTCTTCTGGTGATACTCTTCTATAGTGAAGGACTCCACTTGTTTTCAAGATCCACAAATGCAGACGATTCTGAAAATAAGAAATGTACAGACAAGTACAGTTTTTTTTCTTTCTTAAAATGTTCTCAATGCCAAACCAAGATTGTGGATTAGCAGAGATGTGCGTTTCAACCGAGTACTTCTCTGCCATTAAGTCTGATAGGCCTCTAGCTCGACCCAACTCCTCAACATAAAGAGCATCCCGAGCATTTCCGGTGTCACAAAGCAAAGTACAAAGCAGTTTGTAGGGAAATATTCCTGTGTCCTCCAGAAATGATGTTTTGAACTGATCATTGGCGCCCAAGAAATATCTCAGCTCCTCATACTTTTCAATGCACAGATGAAGACACGACAGGGAGTCTTTGATTTTATATTGGTATAAATACAAAACGGCGTAACTTCGAAGGATTTCGAACTCTTTTCTTCCATCTCCAATATCTCTGGATATGAATAAAGCTTTCTCCAAGCATACTTCCGAAGCTTCAAAATCACCAACAGTTCTAAACACAACTCCAAGGTTTCCAAGAACTGCTGCTTCCCCTTCCTTATCACCAATTTTAGTTGTGATGGCAAGTGCTTTTTGGAGATACTCTTTAGCCTTGTCGTATTGGCCAAGCAACCCAAACACAGTACCTAGGTTTCCATTACATGATGCTTCCTTTTGTCTGTCGCCAATTTCAGTTGTGATGACAAGCGCTTTTTGGTGATACTCTTCAGCCTTGTCGTATTGGCCAAGCGACTCAAACACAGTACCTAGGTTTCCATAGTCAGTTGCCTCCCCTTCTCTGTCGCCAATTTCAGTTGTGATGACAAGCGCTTTTTGGAGATACTCTTCAGCCTTGTCGTATTGGCCAACGGACAGAAACACAGTACCTAGGTTTCCATAACATGATGCTTCCCCTGGTCTGTCGCCAATTTCAGTTGTGATGACAAGCGCTTTTTGGAGATACTCTTCAGCCTTGTCGTATTGGCCAAGCGACTTAAACACAGTACCTAGGTTTCCATAACATGATGCTTCCCCTTTTCTGTCGCCAATTTCAGTTGTGATGACAAGCGCTTTTTGGAGATACTCTTCAGCCTTGTCGTATTGGCCAAGCGACTTAAACACAGTACCTAGGTTTCCATAGTCAGTTGCCTCCCCTTTTCTGTCGCCAATTTCAGTTCTGATGACAAGCGCTTTTTGGAGATATTCTTCAGCCTTGTCGTATTGGCCAAGCGACTTAAACACAGTACCTAGGTTTCCATAACATGATGCCTCCCCTTCTCTGTCGCCAATTTCAGTTGTGATGACAAGCGCTTTTTGGAGATACTCTTCAGCCTTGTCGTATTGGCCAAGCGACTTAAACACAGTACCTAGGTTTTTCTGTCGCCAATTTCAGTTGTGATGACAAGCGCTTTTTGGAGATACTCTTCAGCCTTGTCGTATTGGCCAAGCGACAGAAACACAGTACCTAGGTTTCCATAACATGATGCTTCCCATTCTGTCGCCAATTTCAGTTGTGATGACAAGCGCTTTTTGGAGATACTCTTCAGCCTTGTCGTATTGGCCAAGCGACTCAAACACAGTACCTAGGTTTCCATAACATGATGCTTCCCTTTCTCTGTCGCCAATTTCAGTTGTGATGACAAGCGCTTTTTGGAGATACTCTTCAGCCTTGTCGTATTGGCCAAGCGACTTAAACACAGTACCTAGGTTTCCATAACATGATGCTTCCCCTCCTCTGTCGCCAATTTCAGTTGTGATGACAAGCGCTTTTTGGAGATACTCTTCAGCCTTGTCGTATTGGCCAAGCGACTTAAACACAGTACCTAGGTTTCCATAACATGATGCTTCCTTTTGTCTGTCGCCAATTTCAGTTGTGATGACAAGCGCTTTTTGGAGATATTCTTCAGCCTTGTCGTATTGGCCAATCGACTTAAACACAGTACCTAGGTTTCCAGTTCTGTCGCCAATTTCATGTGATGACAAGCGCTTTTTGGAGATACTCTTCAGCCTTGTCGTATTGGCCCTTGTACCTAGGTATTGGCCAATTTCAGTTCTGATGACAAGCGCTTTTTGGAGATACTCTTCAGCCTTGTCGTATTGGCCAAGCGACTTAAACACAGTACCTAGGTTTCCATAACATGATGCTTCCCCTTCTCTGTCGCCAATTTCAGTTGTGATGACAAGCGCTTTTTGGAGATACTCTTCAGCCTTGTCGTATTGGCCAAGCGACTCAAACACAGTACCTAGGTTTCCATAACATGATGCTTCCCCTTCTCTGTCGCCAATTTCAGTTGTGATGACAAGCGCTTTTTGGAGATACTCTTCAGCCTTGTCGTATTGGCCAAGCGACTTAAACACAGTACCTAGGTTTCCATAACATGATGCTTCCCCTCTTCTGTCGCCAATTTCAGTTCTGATGACAAGCGCTTTTTGGAGATACTCTTCAGCCTTCTCGTATTGGCCAACGGACAGAAACACAGTACCTAGGTTTCCATAACATGATGCTTCCCCATCTCTGTCGCCAATATCAGTTCTGATGACAAGCGCTTTTTGGAGATACTCTTCAGCCTTGTCGTATTGGCCAAGCGACTCAAACACAGTACCTAGGTTTCCGTAGTTAGTTGCCTCCCCTTTTCTGTCGCCAATTTCAGTTGTGATGACAAGCGCTTTTTGGAGATACTCTTCAGCCTTGTCGTATTGGCCAAGCGACTTAAACACAGTACCTAGGTTTCCATAACATGATGCTTCCCCTTCTCTGTCGCCAATTTCAGTTGTGATGACAAGCGCTTTTTGGAGATACTCTTCAGCCTTGTCGTATTGGCCAAGCGACTTAAACACAGTACCTAGGTTTCCATAACATGATGCCTCCCCTTCTCTGTCGCCAATTTCAGTTGTGATGACAAGCGCTTTTTGGAGATACTCTTCAGCCTTGTCGTATTGGCCAAGCGACACAAACACAGTACCTAAGTTTCCATAACATGATGCTTCTCCGCTTCTGTCGCCAATTTTGGTTGTTATGGCAAGGGCCCTCTCAAAATATTCCTTTGCTTTTAGGCTTTCGCCAAGTTTATAAAGCATAATTCCATACTCTCTGTATAAGTCAAACAGTTTCCTCCCGTATCTTTCCGCACTTATGTAGTCAGAGATATGACGATAAGCGCTGAAAAGAATGGTATAGATGTCGCTGTAAAATTGTAGCAGTGCTGAATCAAATTGGTCTTTGCTGTTTTGATCGGTGCAAGTTAGCAAAATCAAACATTCGCTGCATATCTCAATGGCTTTCTGAATGCGATCTGAGTTGAGCAAGAACAGGGCAACAAGTAAGGCGATGCTCATGAAAGGTGTCATGGCTTCTGCTGTTAGGTTTCCATTGCAATCCTCTCCTGTTATCAGGGAAACATTATTTTTATTAACACAATACTAAACAAAAAAAAAAAAAAAAAAAAGAAAACGGACGGAGTGGATCGGTAATTTGCTCGAACATAACCACATCACTGGTCTTACCTTTGAAGACGTTAATCCAGTGACTGAAATATGGCAACAAGCAAATGACATCAGAGATAGGAGGTGGCTTGACTTTCAGTCAATAGTCATACTTAATAGTACTTCATATTTCTTTTGAGGAAGGGAGAGGTGGGGGATGAATTTCGGTTTTGTACGTCACACTTTTGTGACCAATGATAGAATTGAACATGTAAAAATAAATTATTTCATTCTTTTTTTAACAGGAAACGTCAGGCTTCTGTGTCCATCCATTTCGAAAATTGAAATTTCATTACAAGATCGATACCAACAGAACCAAAGCTTCTTTCTTTAAACGGTAAGCTATCTGTGAGCGATAATCAACTTTTCATGAACTGATATGGAAAACCGATCCGTAGTTTACTCCGCAGTGAATCTATTTCGGTTTTGTACGTCACATTTTTATAACTTCAAATCGACCATCTTTCGTTCCCCATACAATTCCTTATGACGTGTTCAACTCTGGTAAGTTAACACCGAGTCACACAACGCGTGACGCTTTCATGAATTAATCGTTTGCTTTTTCTCGAGTGTGAGCTTGGGCCGCCTCTGTTGACATCAGTAAAGGACATTCTGCATGACAAATATGTCTTAATATAGGATTGATTTTAGTTTTTGATCACGTGATTGTGGGAACCATCAGTTTCTCAAACTAAACAATGCTGAACAATCTTAGTTACATTCTGGTTGAAATTTATTGTATGAAACCTTAACTGTTTTAAGAAAGCCATTTAACGGTGGAGATATGAAGCATCCGATCAACGGAAAAGTACGCCTATACTACGTATGCAGTAACATTGAATTTAAGAAAGTCTTAGTTTCTCTCAGAAAATTAAAACATCTCTCTTCGTGAGCGCGCAGCGTCATGACTTATCTTCTTATGCGAGGCTCTAGCGCTTAAGCAGACAAAAAAACAGATTACGGCGTTTAGAAAAATATGTACCGTAGAACCCGCCGCTAGTATCTAAAAATTTAAGTGAATGGTGTCTCGACCATGAAACGTTTGTGTACAAGTAGAAAACGGAAATTCAATTGGAATCTACCGCGATCTCTGAATCGATCGTAAAACTCTCCTAAAAAAATGTCAAGTTAATAGCCAGTGCAGATCATAGCCTCTGGAAAACCACGTAATGAAGCACTACGGATTTCCTATGATGTCAGCGTGGGACAGTCTAGTTTTATGATCATCAATTTCTCAAATTGAACGATACTCAATAACCTTGTTTTAGTTAATGAGGATAAATTATACGGTATAAAGCCACAGAGATTTAAAAAGTCGCCGTAGAATCAATTTATTTCACTGTGGTGACGATTCAATCGCGCCATCAACCGCTTTAACGAAGGGCTAACACTCGAAACGTAACATATTGCAAACATAAAGATCAGGTACTGGATAAAGTAAATAATAAAGGGATAAAGCAGCTACTGGGCTTTGCCATAAGAGCCTTACCTCTCTACAGTTACTAAATGACTAAGGCTGATAAAAACCGAGTGACTAGAAAAGATTTTCAATCGCACTTACCAAGATGTTGACAATGTGGCTGATGCTTTGAAAATGAAACAACCAAAATAACGAATTACTTTTCCCAACCTTCCGAACTTCCGCTGTCACAGTGTTTAATGCATCCAGATCACGTGTGTTCAGGATATTCCCTTCCCCCTCGGGGCTAATCGAAATAAAAGGAAAAGTTTTAAATTGCATATTTTTTTGTGTGCCTGTATGCCCGTCTATCGCGTCCCATTTAGGTTAAAAATTTTTAACAGTTAGTG